GTATGACCTCTTAAATCTCAAGGGACTAAAAAACATTAGAAAAGAAGAATATCGTCAAAGGCTTGTCAAAGATTGAGGATTCTAAACAAGTGTGTGTAAACTGTATGGTGGGAAAGCAACAATGAGAAACACTTTCAAATAAATTCAACTTGATATCATGAAACAAATTCCAAATCTATATGGGCATATAAGTTCTTCAACCAACAACAAAAGATATATACTAAATTCATCGATGATTTCAGTAGAAGATCTTGGGTATATTTTTTTAGCTAAAAAGCATAATACATTATATTATTTTAAGAAGTTCAAAATCGTGGTTGAAAATGAAATAAGAGATGCAAATCATTGTTTAAGACTAAGAGATGAGCTTTATATAAATCTTTTGATTTCAGGAAGTATTATGAAGATAATGGAATCAAGAGACAACTTATTACAGCTTACAGTAAAATGGAGTAGCTAGAAAGGAAGAACACAACTCTCTTAAAAATGGTTAGAAATAAGTGGTGGATTGAAGCAGTTAGTCTCCTTCCACGAACACAGACCTTGGAGTCGTTAATCATCAAGTTCCAAAATACCCGAGTTCAATTTCTCTGATTTTAACAGGAAAATCAAACAACCTCTAAGATTTTGACCAGACTAATCTAACCTATGAAGATTTTAATACCAGGTTAATCTTCAACTTACCTTGGTTTTAACCAGGCTAACCAAGAACCAATGAAGATTTTAACAACGACTAATCTTCAACCTTGGAATGATCACACAATCACCAACCTAAGCTTTTATCGGATTAAGCTTGAATCACAAATAATCCCTAATCGAACAGTATTCAATCAAGGTGTATGAAAATGATCCCCTTGGTGAATTTTATAATTCCACCATTTCCATAATTACACAAGTAACCTCACTTATAAAGGAACTTTTCTCACAAAAGTATTTGGCTATAATATATAGTGAGATAAAGTTAAAATAAAACTTAGAGAGAGAGAGAGAGAGAGAGAGAGAGAGAGAGAGAGAGAGAGAGAGAGAAAGAGAGAGTGTGAGAGATGATAGTATCAAAGCACGATTTTGGATGGTTTAAAATGAGAAAATAAGCCTCTATTTATAGGCAAGAGGTGTGCCCAAAATGGAATTTGCAATCAATGAATTTTCCTGTTATCTAATCAATTAACATTTATTCTAATCTTAAAATTTAAAAAATAATCGATTGTAATTTATTTAAAAGGAATGAAAATATACCTAGTCGTTGCAGATCATTAAGGTGTTGTCTAAATAGGTTGAGGCGTAAGTTTGAACTAATCTAATTGATTAGACAAAAGACCCAACGATTAGATAAGTCGAATTTTTTCCTCTAGTTATTTCCCCAGCTCATATGTCATCTGACATAACTCCAAGGCATTTTTGAAGATATTTTCTCTTGATAAAAACATTTGAAAAATATTTTAGTGTGTGGTGTGTGCTTATAGCCTTATACTTTTACGAAAAATAACATTTGATTACATAAGTTCACCCACTTACTAAATTAGGAGATTAACTCCTTTCCTTTAAGCTTTTTGTTAGATACTATTTATTGTAGCCCGAAATTTTCCCTCCTATTTTTACTCAAGACTTGCTCATTGAGGTCTTCAATTGCTCAAGGTTGACCAAGAATTGACCAGACAAATTCTCCTCATAAGCAATGAACCTCCAACTAGGGTTTTACTTTTCACAAATATTTTTGGGTTGCAAAGACTCCAATTGATTTCCATGGTCCCTAATATGTCTTCAAGAATGTCCATGACAAATTTCATGCCTTACACTACAAGTTTGCTCAGTCAACTGCTTAAGTGTTTGAAAATCAAATGTACTAGGTCAAAAGTCAACTTTGACCAATATGCAGTCAAACTTCAAGATTTTTTGTCAACATCAACATTTTGAAGTTGATAATCATCATTTGATCAAGGGTTGATCATGATTCCTCAAGGAATACTCATTGTATTAAAATAATCATACAGATGCAAACAAGTTCTTGCATGCAAACAATGTTTTGATAAACAAGAAAAATTACAAAAAGCAGAAATAAGTTAATGATCAGGGAAGGCTTTCCATCTGGACTTGAATCACCGAAAACATCCTTCAAAAATCAAAGTCACCATCAATCGTGTTTACTCTTCGGCGCATGCTTGATTTGAACTTCAAAACCAACGTCCTTGAATGACAAGATACCACTTCTGACTAACTTCTGAACCTCGATCTTCAAAGCAAAGCAAACCTCCAAGTCATGCCCAGGAGCACCTTGATGAAAAGTACAAGTCAAAATCAGCTTTGTAGTACCAATGTATCTTCTTAGGAACCTTTGGTGGAGGTCGAGTCTGAACCAAATTCCTCTGCATCAGGATAGGGAACAACTCTGTATAGGTAATTGGAATTGGATCAAACTGGGTTTTCCTCTGATTAGGAACTTGTTGATTCTGTTGATGAATAGGAGAAACATGATGATTCTGATGATGATTATTTCTTCCTCTGGTTCTCTTCTTGGAAAAGTTATTATCAAACTTCTTCACACCATTAGCTGAGCTACCATCTTCATATAAACATCCCTTTCAGACATCTTCTTCTAGACGCACTCCCACATTCACCTTGTCAGGAAATTCATTAGGTGAATTAACCATCACCCTCTCATGAGAGAATGATTTTAGAGTTTCAGTGAAGACCTTTTCCATCACTTCTTCTTTCTTAGATGGATTGACTCGGGCGGCAACCAGAATTTCAACCAAGCCAGTTAAGTGCTCCATACTAGCTTTCAAAATAGTCATCTCTCTACGGAGTTCAGAAACCTCTTGCTTGATATTCTCCATTGTCCTCTTAGCGCGAGTGTTGTACTTAGGTGAAACCAAAGGAAAAAATTAAGACTTGGAAATGACCTTTGAAAGTGAAACAAAAATGTAGAATGATGTATGATATGCAAAAGAGTTTTTATTTGATTTTCAAGGAACTCAAGATATTAAGTTGTAAACATCAAAGTATGAAGATAGAAGATGAATTTAAAATTGGCTCCAAACATTGATCAAGTTATCATCAAGATCAATCATCCATTTTGGTGGATTAGGGTTTTCGCCCTATCAACACCCAAGATCCATTGAGCTTGACAAAACTTGTGATGTTTACAAGGAAAGACTTCCAAATTCCCTCAAAGTCAAGTGAAAAAGGTTTTATGGATGCACGAATGCATGGCTATGCGACAACCACAAGCAAGGTCACAAATAAAGTCGAAAGGTTCAACGTCACGAGCATGGAGTCAAGGTAAGGAACACCCCCAAGGTATGTACTAACGGTTTAATCACACCTGTAGAACAAGGTTCTAAGAGTTCCCGGAGTCTACATTCCTCCTTCGGATATTACCAACGTCTTGATTACTCAATAATCAGCAATATTCTCAAGAGAAACTCATCCGAGCATAGCATCGCGTAACAATTACTTCCGGATTACTCCGTTATAATCTCCGCTCTACACCTAAAAGGCCAAGATGGGTTAGGGTTCTACGGTTCTCAGCTTCTCTGGCTCCCAGGTCAAAAATAATAATGTCTTCCCGATTACTCGGTAAACAAATATTACGTTCAAAAGGGCCTTCCACTGAGTGGGGGATCTCATGCCTCCTTCTTCGGGATTACTCCCTCAAAGTTAACATGACTATACCGCCCGTCCTATTCCTAAGTGTAACTTAGTCCGGGTATAGGACTTATCCTTTGTAAATATTATCAACCCCCAAATAATCATAATATATACATATAATCAAACAATCAAATAATGATAA